AAGCCCTTTTCATGACCCAAGCATTCAAATGTTCCCGTATCTGTTTCGGGAAATGACTTTTTAAAAGAATCCCAGTGGTATTCTGAGCAGTCCAACCATTTCCCCCCTATCTGGGTTTTCCAGTGAACATTCGGGCTGCCTTGAAAGCTGAAGCTTTTCTCACACACCAAACACTTACAACTCTCATGGCCCTGATCCATTTCTTCTTCACGTGGCACTCCATGAACATTTTCGTTCAGAGAAACAAAGGATCTTCTCCACTTCTCTTTGCTTTCTGTTTTTCTCCTCTGGGGTTTCTCCTCCTCCTTGGTAATTTTTTCTAAGATCACCTGATGTGGTTCTTCTGTGAACCTCCCTTTTTTCAAACCAGCAGCTAAAAGGAAAAAACAACCACACAACTCAGCTTTATTGAAAATCTACAATCAAATCTCAAGCCACTGCCTATTTTCAAACACCCATTGTATTTTAAGATGTATTGATTATTTTGTTCTATTTTTTAGTTTTCCGTTATGCTGTTGTGTTATGATTATTGTTGTTATTTCCATGTTCTAAACCACCCAGAGTGGCCTTTGGGCAGATGGGCGGTATAAAAATAATAAAAATCAATCAATCAATCAAATTCACAGTGAAACAAATCTGACTATCTGAAAGCTGCTTTCTTAGCTGCTTCTTAGTTCCTGAAAAAAGCAAACCTGGCTATCTTTCTGAAAAAAGCTGTAACAGCACAAGAAAGAAAGCTTACCCAGAGACACCACATTAGCAACATTCTCCTCCATGACTTCCCAGAGCAGAGCCCTTTGGCCTGGATCCAGCAGCGCCCACTCCTCCTCTGTGAAGGACACAGCCATGTCCTCAAGAGTGATGGGACCCTGGAGGAAAAGGAACCTTTGGTTTTTTTTCAATGACATTACTAAATAGAATGATGTCGATGACACAGGTTAGGGACACACAGTACAAGATTCAACCCCTCACTTTTCATAGTGCCAGCCTTCTGAGTGAGAAGGTTTGACAGAAGCCAACAGAAAGGGAGAGATTCTTTTAGGACCTTTTACCCTGGAGTAAAAGGAAACGTCTTTTAAAAATGAAATTCCAGAAGAAAATGGCTTCAATGAGATAACTAAGGTTACAGTACAGGATTCAGAGAATTGTAGGATAGGGAGAAGGACCGAAGCAGCCCCATCTCCCCATTCATTTTCCCTCTACCTGTTCTGGCTGCCCAGGCACTGTTTCTATTCCTCCACGAAGAAGAGATGAGGCAGGATCTGTCCCCAGCGTGGTTCCAGGATCTGCAAGGGTGACCAAAGGATGGGAATGTGGTTATTTGTGAGCGAGAGTCACCAAGTGTGCCATCCTCCCAGAAGAATCAGCCAAAAGAGAACAAAGGATGTGCCGTAGGAAAACTTATTAAAATTGACAAGGGAGAAATAGGGCGGAACAAGGCGGTTGAGGTGTTCTTGGCTGAAGGAAGGCAGAGACAGAAGTGGGTGGAGTTAGATCTGATGAAGTGGGATGAGATAAAAGAGGAGGAGGAGAAGGAGGAGTGGCAGAAGGGAAAAGATGACAAGAGCAGACAGACCGAGGAAACAGGAGGTATAAGGTACAAATTTATAATCCTAGTAAAGGAATTCCCCAACTTATGAACGGGAGGTGGTCTACTGCCAGACCCTCCTAGTGAGATAAAGAGAGAGAAACTGAGGCAAGGAACAGGATGGAATACGGGAGTAGTTTATCCTACAATGGATATGGGGAAGAAGGAGATCCATTCTGGTGCCAGCAACTATCTCCCCCATTTGGAGGGAGATTATGTGAAACACCCATGTTGCGGGACAATGTGTGCGGTATTGAGCTTCCCGGTGCAGAGCAGAGTTTCTCCAAACATCTTTGGAATGAAGAAGGAATGAAGAAAGGAAGAAATACTGAGTTTGAGAAAGTTAAAAGTTATAAGCTGTTGCAGGAGGTGAACGAGTTGGACCCTTTTGGTTTAGGCATTTTTGATGTTAAAACAAATAAAGAACCGTTATTTGTACCGGTCTCCTCCCCTTCTGTTCTTCCCGCCGAAACCCCAGGCCCGCCCACACTTACGAAAGAACCCAGTCACATTATTCTTCAAAAATATTTAATTC